CCAAATCTGAGCACACGGGCCTGTGTGAGCATTATTCATACGCGTCATCTTATCATATATATACACGCTCATCATCATCAGTCTGACCTGTGTTGGGGGGCAGAGGCTCGGCAAGTAAAAGGAGTGTCTTGCAGCCAAAACGTTGCCTTACAATATATATATACATACACACACACCACCCGTCTTCGGCGGCCAGGAGTGTGGGAGAGAGGTCCGCAAAGACGCCCTCGATTTAATTCCGAAAGTGTGCTCCGCCGTTCATACACACAGCCTGCGTTCGAGCGAGAAGAGACGAGGAACGAGTCGAGTCGAGCATGTGTAGTGTGGGTGTGGACAGCGCCGACGCCGAAGCGCAACATCTCGCGACTAAGAAATGCTGCGCATTTTAAAAAACCGCCAGGCCTACGCGAAACGCGCAGCACTGTCATAGTAAATTCTGGAAGAGCGGCCTTTCAGAGCCTTTTTGGGGGCGAAGCTTCCTATGCCGTGGGTCGTGTGCCCACGATGTAGTCGTCGTAGTTGCAAGTAGCCACCTCCAAGGTCGGACCATAGGAGCGGCACGTGCGCGCCTTTTTCAATTGAGGAGGAAACTCGCGCACGTTAATCATATATAAAAGTTAATTCTGATGAAAATTTACAGAGACGAGTATTGGTGACTTAATCTCCAATCAGTTCGCCAGAACTATAGCGAAAACAAGAGCAGACGCAACAGCTCCGCGCTCTACGTAAAAAGACCCAACTCGACGCTACTGTTGCGTTATGAATAGCCACGGACGTGAACGACTTCAGTTTCGCCGATTTCCGCAGCTTTCGCGAAGCAGAACCGCGAGAGCGCTGGATGCGGGTCGTTGCGTGCGTGTTGGGTAAACGAATTACTTGCGTTTCCCACTGCCGGTCGCATGAGAAAGTGTGCTATTGTTGGTCTCCTGTTATTAAAGATGATAGTCTTGCTTGGAGACCTTCGACGCAAGAATTTTGGTTTGTCTGTCTGTCTGTCTGTCTGTACGTTTGTCTTTTTGTCTACTCTTACCGGCATCGAGTACTTGAAACGGCCGACCCCATCCGGAGCAACCACTAATGTTGCTCAAGGTTGAGCGTTCATGCTTGTGCAATTTTCAATTAAAAAGCAATTATTACGCATGTCTGGGGCACCATAACAACACGCATATATTCTGCATATGCATATCTTACTAGAAAACGCATACATAAGTACTTTTGATTGATATGTAGGGTTTAACGTCCCAAAACCACTATATGATTATGAGAGACGCCGTAGTGGAGGGCTCCGGAAATTTAGACCACCTGGGGTTCTTTAACGTGCACCCAAATCTGAGCACACGGGCCTACAACATTTCCGCCTCCATCGGAAATGCAGCCGCCGCAGCCGGGATTCGAACCCGCGCCCTGCGGGTCAGCAGCCGAGTACCTTAGCCACTAGACCACCGCGGCGGGGTTACATAAGTACTTTTAAGGACCGTAGCGCTTATCACGCTGCGCTTACCATGCAACGCTTGCATGGAACGGCGTTTCCAACGCTTTGCTAATACGAGACTGTGGTGGCAACTACCCGTCGCCTCGCGTTCTACACCTTATCACCTCTGAGATGGGTGCGCACGGCCACGCGCTTTGTTTTCCAAAAGAAACTGGCAGATGGCGCTCATGTCTCACGTGTGACAGTTCAGTTCGGACTGTCAACGTGGATGGACGTGTTTTTTGAGCGGTCCGGATCGACTGCGCAGATAAGTGTTTTTGCATGTTTGGAGCTTGTCTTTATAATTATAAGGCAGTGGTTGAAATCTTCGTAGCACTTATTTTATGGTACGGCTTTTTCGGGGGCCAGTCACCAGGTATTTATTAGTTAGTGCGGGTGTGTGTGTTTGAATTTTTTTGTTGTTGTTTGTTTCCTTTTTTTTCTTTTGCCACCCCGTGGGGGAGGTGCACGTACATTGAACGCGCAAATTTTTGTAGTAGAGCTTAGACTTTCTTTTTTTTTCGTAGTGCAGGGCTTGAGTTTAGAATTATCGAGTATATGGACAATTGGTGTCAGAAAGGCATGGTTAAAAAGACTGTAAAGTGTTCAGGATGTGGAGTGGGTTTGAAAGTGGACCCAAGCGTAGAAGCGGATGAAGAAGAGGCTGACGCGAAGTGTAGGCAATGTGAGGTCGAGGAAAAAATTGAGAAAATGATGGTTGCCCAGAATGAACTGTTGATGAGAATCGCCGAGCTCGAGACTGCGTTGGCGACAGAGCAAGAGAAAACGAGGGCAATGGGAGAAAGACTGAAGTCCGCCGAGGAAGCGCTAGCGAAGCTGAACAAAGAAGCGACCTACCGGGAGAACAGTAGGGAACCGGCAACCAGAACGGTGGAGAAGGAAAAGCAAGCAAGTTTGGAAAAAACAGGTTTAGCCGGTTCAACTGTCGCAAGGCCCAGCTTCAGCGAGGTAGTGGTGGGGCAGGGAGGGAACAAAGCAGCCGGCGTCACAGGTGCAAGTAGTCCCCAGGTGCAGAACGCTCCAGCTGAAAAGTCACAGCATGTGATAATCGCCGGGGACTCGAATTTTAATCGATGCACAGAAGCCATTAAAGAGAGGGTAAGAGGTGACAAGAGGGTTGCAGTAGGGGCGTTCCCAGGACGCAGGCTGGAAGCAGTCATGAGGCAAGCGATCGCAAAGCTCAAAACGACAGCTGATAGACGAAACCTCGTGATAATTTCAGGCGGTTTAAACGATGTCCTAAATGAAGATGCAGCAGGACTAGCAGCCACACTGGCGAAAGGCGTCGATGACATGCGTGCCACTTCTCCTAAGGTACAGGTAGTGATATGCACGATACCGGAGGTACGGGTGCGTCATAGCAACCTGCAAAGAGCGGTGGTCAACGTAAACCAAGAGATATGGCGGATGAGTCGAGAGAAAGGCTTTGAAGTGGTGAAAATAAACAGAGAGGTGCATAGGTGGGGGGGTTTCAACGAGACAGAATTCACTTCGATGGGCGGCTAGGTCATGAGGTGGGTTGGCGACTTGCAGGACGCGCAGTAGCTTTTTTGGGGGGCAAGCGAGCCCTTCGGGGTGCAGGATAGCTAGTAACGAGGAAAACAACCAGGGAGACTCTTCGACAAGTGATATGGACAGATACGATTCCAAAGTGGCACCAATATCTAAGATAGGTAGAGTCCGGGGCATAAATAGACGTAGCCACGAGCGCCGAGCGAATTCAGACATAGGGTATATTAACATGCAGGGTGGTAGGAACAGGCTGAAGTGGGAAGAGATAGAAGAACAGCTAAGGGGAGAGAGGCCGATGGTACACGGTTTTGTAGAAACACATCTCAGGGACATGGAACAACCTCCGAAAATCCGGACTACGCGTGGGAATATTGTAATAGAACAGAAGGCAGCAGAAAGGGGGGTGGTATTGGGGCATTCATTCATAAAAGTACAGACTGGCAAAGGGTCAAGCAGGAGTGCAAGGAACATTTATGGGTAAAAGGGAAAGTGGCAGGTCAAATGACACTCCTTGGTTTCGTGTACTTGTGGACGGGAGCAAAGGCCAGAGAGGAAAACCAGGCAATGGTAGAGTGCATATCAAAGGACATTCAGGAGTTAGGAAGAGAGTGCGAGATAATTATACTAGGAGACATGAATGCGCACATAGAAGATATGGATGGGTATACCGACCCGACAGGCAAAATGATCATGGATATGTGTGAAAGGCTTGATTTGATCATTTGCAACAGTACCGAGAAGTGTGAAGGGCAAATAACATGGGAGGTAGGAAGACTTCAGTCGACAATAGATTATGCACTGATGTCACATAGAAAGTATGATAAGCTCAGGGGAATGCACATAGATGAAGGTGGCTCCAGAAGTCTGGGTAGCGATCACAAACGTATCAAGCTAAGTTTTGGAATAGCAGTGAAAGTGGGAAGGAGACAAGATGAGCAACTACAGGAAAATTTTTATGCAGAAAGGCAAATTGAAATAGCCACTAAACACATTAAGAAAGTAATCACGGAGGATAACACTTTCGTTTTTGCCTTAATCGTTTATATTTTCCTTGCTATAGCAATTGTAGGGACACTCTCGGCAGGTTATTGGCGCGGGCGTCGGCTTCACCATTATTTATCATATATGTATACGTATTTGTATATATGAAAACACAAGAA